TTATTAATCATTTTTTTAATCGCAATTATTTTTTCTATGCATAGTAAATTAAACGAAATTAACAAAAACAAATAAAAAATTAAATATCAACAAATACAACCAACCAAAAAAAAATTCAAATTAAACAAAAAATTAGATGCTCCATCTCCGGTCAATTCATGTAAAAATAACAAAATTAAAGATCAATTAAAATAATTAATTATAATTATCAAATTATAATTCCAAAAGTTGAGATAATTACTGTTTTGAAATTATCTAAATATAAGGCGGAAATCTGAAAGTAAAAAAAGATAGGGAATCCGAAATTTTAAAAAATTCTTTATATAAATTCCAAGCATTAGCATCTCATATTTTTTTTTTCTCAAATCATAACTCTAATAATAATTAAATATTAAATATCTCATATTTTTTGTAAATCTCATCACTCATTAAAAAATAAATATTATTTATGGTTGGTCAAATCAACTATGCCATATTCTTTTCTCATCTCATAACTGTAATAAAAACTAAATATTAAATATCTCATATTTTTTTGCAAATCTCATTACCCTAAAAAAAAACTATATATATATAATTGTTGGCTCATGATCATTTAATAAAACCTATTAAATTATGTCTATGTGGCAATATAATTCTTTTTTTCTAAAAATCGTTATTTTTTATTTATTTAACCTCTCATTTAATTGTTAGATAATCAACACACTGATCACTTCAAAATTACAAAAATCGTTTTAAATTTTCTATTTACTTACAGTTGACCATATAATGTGTTGACTATTTAACTTGAATAGATGTTATTGTTGTGGTTACATTTAAATTAACTTCTTTTGAAAAATAAAAAACGTATTTGAAATTCCTAAATAAATAATAAATAATTCACAAACAAAGATACATACCAAAATATACATTACATCCAATATGATAAACGTAATTTAAGAAAATAAATATTTCAGCTCATTTAATTGTAAATTTAGCAAAAATTATTAATTATTATATGCATACAAATAACTCACAATACTTTATTTATATATGTGCATATGCACATGTCGAATACTAGTTGAAGTAAAACCTCTCACTTTCTTTCCTAAAACCCAAAAATCCATAGTTTGCTCTGACCCTTTCGATCGATACTCTGATGAGAGGGAATTCGCAAATGGAATCAATGTTAGGGTTTAACGAGAACTTGCAGGACGACGTCGTAGAAGACAAGAAGCTTGTCCCATGGATGAGCTGGGACGAGTGGAAGTTCGTTAGGGTTTCCCTTTTCTCTTCATCCCCTAATGCCGTCGCCTCTGCCCTCAAACGAGTAAGGATAATTTTTTTTTATTTTTTTTTTGTTTTGTTTGAAGTTGTGAAAAGTGGGTTTAGAACCAAACAAACAAACAATTGATGCTTTACTTTTGTTGTTGGTGTTGTTTTCATGTAGATATCCACGTGGCGAAGCAGAGGATGCATCCCTGTCGCCATTGAAGTAACTGCGTCCATTATTGAAATTCAGCAGCAAGATCCTTACTTTAGGTCAGTTTGTGTTTTTTAATTCATGAACATCATATTATTATCCATTGTTGTGCTTGTGTAGATGACCATTTAGCTAGTGTATTGCAATTATCCTGGAACAGATGCTTCCTTGCCAATTGATTTTACTATTTCATGTTTGTGGGTGGAAGATGACGCCAGTTGGTTACTGAACTTGAATTTCCAGCAAAACCCATTTTATCGTGTTCAATTCAGCAGCAGCAACGTCGTTTACAAATTGTTTTTCTTATGCTTCCTTCAATTATAGCTGGCATCCGTTTCCAGACTGTTTATTGCATTTGAAGCTTCATGGATAAATTATTTCATTTTTAATGAGCTTTTGTTACTACAAATAAGGGCTTCCATGCAATAATGTATGCATTAATTTTGAAATATAACCAGTGTAATTGGATCAATCTTTGGTCTTATATGTGGCTAGAAGTTATAATCCTGTGTATGAATGTAGGAATGAATTGAATGATGGCTGTTCTCAATCAGAGGAAATGCTCTCCATGTTATATTGTATGGCTATTGTGAGGCAAGTGATTCTTTTTACCTTCTCTGATTTGTCTTTTTTTATGGGGTTTATGCATAACAATTTGAACTGCTATCCTCAATCCTGAATTTTTAATTTTTACTTCCCCAAGGCTTGTAAATGGCATGGTGGAGAAAACTCGGAAAAAGAATGAAATTTCAATTGGGGAAGCAGCTGATGCCTTCGGTATTCCAAGAATAGTTGTTGACGTTCGTCATGGTAAATGCATTAGAATATGAAGTTTATACCGTACTGCACTATTTTTATATGTAACTGTTCCCTAGTAAATTGCTGGCGAAGTATGTTCTTGTTTCTATTCCTGTAACTTGAAGTTCTATCTGGTGTTTGAACTCTTGTAGAGGGTTCCCATCGTGATCTTCCTTCTCTTCAACTGGTCCGTATTGCATCGATTAAGGTAATGTCTCATTCTAAACCATTCAGTTTGTGTTTTCCTAGTATCAGGTTCTATGTGCTGAAGTTGCTTGGTTTTTGGTAGGTTGTAATATACTTCTCTGTTAGTTAATTTAAGTGAATGCTCCATGAAAAATTTCATCAACCCGAAAAAATGCCAGCATTATGCAATCCTGCATAATTACATTTATTACTTCCTTTCTTGTTTCTTTCTTCAACTTCGTTAAAATCATATCTGTCAGATTATGTTTTTATATGTACTTCATTATACTGTAAAAAATAATAATAATAATAATAATAATAATATCGGTGGACCTTATTGCGTTCTACCTTGATCCTCTACCACATCTCATTCTATATAGTTAACAAAAACAAAACCAATAAACAGTCTTTATTTATGTAAAACTATCTTTCTTTTGTTCACCTTGATAAAATAAAGGATTTTTTTTTTTTCAGACACCAATGTAGGCTCTCCTGTTGGAAGAAGATCTAATGACATCACCTATACTTTTGTTGAGCTTCATTGTCTCATTCCATGTCTTTAGAAGCCGTGCAGAACTTAATCCTTATGCATTGGATCATTTTTAATAATGCAGGCACTTGATTGGTTGGTATGGTATTATTGGGAACAGCAAGAAAAAGCTATTCCTACTAAAAACAACCCTAATGCCAATCTCAGGAAAGAAATCAAGCGCAAATTACGTGAAGTTGCTCTCTGTCTGAAAGGGCAACAGATAGCAAAATCCTCAGACGTAAAAGGGAGACGTGAGTGTTATTTTTTTACTTTGTTTTATTTTATCTTATTGTTTTCCAATCTGTTGAGTTTGGCTTCAAAAATGACATTTTTATCACTGAAGGTTTTGCTGGGGACCCAGCCCACTTTGTTTAAAGCAGCTCCTTCATCTTCATATTATTAATTATATACATATATTGATTTTATAAATATGTATATATATTTAAAATCTTTGTCCATTGCAAATGGAGCTGGAAGAGTCATTGTTGACAATTTTCCCGTCATAGTGCTAATAATAAACTAGATCAAAATGGCTCAATTAAATTCTAGTGCTTCTTCTATTAGTGAAGTTTCTAGAAAAAAAATATATCGAACGACGCAATGCACCTTGGGTCGCTACGGAAACAGCCTCCTTGTATAATTACAAGGGTAAGGTCTGCGTACAACTGACCCTGTGCGTACAACTGACCCTGACCCCCCAGACCCCAACCAGTTGGGAATATACTGGGTTTGTTGTTGTTGTTGTATAAATATTTAAAATCAATGTCAAATTACTTCTAGGCATTAAAAGATCGCGATTATATTCTAGAGTGTAAAGTGGCATATTATTCGTTCATTCCCTTCTATTTACACCCACTTGCAGGTATAAGACCCAAAGAACATTTGTATGGTCGTAGTAAATTTCTTATTCTTGCATCTGGGAAATCATCACATTCCAACTCCACAGGTAAATTAACATAATTAAATTTTTGTGAAATATTAGGAGCACATTTCATATTTATATACACACTCACACGCACGCACGCACATGCTGCATTTCTACCGATATATCACCTCATTCATAATGGTTGATTGATTATATTTCAGGTTCTAAGAAGCAGTTCGCGAAATCATTAAAAAATATCCTCCGACTGTATTCTTCATTTTCTTCAGAAGTAGTTTATATTCTATTGGAGTACTTGCTAAATGCGTTGGACACATTCAAATCTGAGCAGTTGGAGGATTCAGATACTGTAAGCAATGCTGAAGATACGCAAACTGCGTTTGATGACTGGAAATCTGTCGTCTTGAAATTGTCGAGAAAGGAACCAGAATTTCTTGTGACGCTTACACAGGTTATTCTTGAGAAGATGGAGAGCAACGAAACTACGGATCAAATAATAGGTAACAATCAATTCAATCTTTCTCCTTTTTTTCCAGATTTTCTGTGCTTGGTCATTTGAGTAGGTTCTTCAGTTTTGAGGAGGATTGACATTTTACTAATCCATAGCTTAATTGAGTATACGGTTCGGAAAGTCAATAATTGCTCGTACATCATCAAACAAAAGAAATATGCGAAATTTTGTTGCACAAGGGGAATATTAGTGACAGATGCATAAGTTATCACTGAGGTTTATTCCTATAAACGGAGAGTCTTGTGATATATTTATGTGGAAAGATAATTGTGTTTATTATCTGAAACTCAATGGTATAAATTGTTCCATATTACTTTACCTTGCATGTGTATGTAGCTTCCTGTTTTCATCAATTATAACACTAATTCTTCTCTGAATCTTCACCAGATGAAAATCAAACTCCCAAAAATTCAACAAAAGCTCGGCAAATCGAGTTACTCTCACATTTATTATCTTGGGTTATTGGAAACCTAAAGACACTAAAACTGGTTAGCCACAAAGAATCTTCCGATGGAGAAAAATCCAAGACAGAGAAAAAAGTACCCATGGAAACTGTACACTCCTTACTGCGTAAATGTCTCTTAATATCCTCTTTCGGAAACAAACAACTCATGAAATCAGCCCTTACTCTCTCACACCTTACTGGAAACATCTCTTTACTTCAAAAACTCAAGAAGCTTGCTTTACTCGAGCAGCTGCCAGATTTGGAAACAAACTCGGTTGACTATTCTAATGAAAACCTGCTTTCCGAACAAGAAAATTGTATTCGTCAAGCTGCTGAGGACTTTGGGTTCATGAAGCAACATATGAAGGGAAAGTGTGGAGGGATAGATGAGTCTGAGGCTGGAGTCAAGAGAAAATGGACTCTGGCAAAAACGTGGAATTCATGTCCTATTGGGATGTTGCCTTCTAAAATTGGGTTTTCCGGCCAGCTTCCGGTTTTGGACTGTGCTGATGAAGTTGGGGAAGAAAAAGAG